ATTAGTCCCATAGGCGGCTCAAAGAGTCGAACCCGTGGGGATACCGGGGGGTTCTGATTCGCCTCAAAGAGGTAATTAGGATCAGTTATAAAAAAAAAGATTATAAATTGTGATTATTTAAATTATTAATTCATTGGTCATTTATGCATTAATGTTATTTGATTGGTAATATGATTGGATTAGGATAAGTCAGCAAACTTAATTTGATTAGATATAATGAGTTAGTCTTGAGTCAGTTATGAATCAGCGATATTCTGAGCCATAAGAAAATTAAGAAGAGAAATGAAATAATTGTATGAATCCCCTGTCTAGCTCAACCAAACCAAATCATTTCCAATCCTCAACATTTCTCTCATTCTCTTCTTCTCCTCTTCTACTCTTTCTTCTTTCAAATTTCTTTTTATTTTTATTTTATTATTATTATTTTATTTGGCTACCAACCGGCTTCTCTTTCCAAATCGCTTTTCTTCTAGAAGTTAGCAAATACAAAAACCAGGTAATCCTAATCCCTAGAGAGTCATAGGTTATATTTATATGAAATTTGGTATATGTAATCATAATCCCTAGATATTGTACTCTTAGGTTATATTTATATAAAATTTGGTATATGTAATCCGAATCCCTAGGTACTTTTAGCATTAGGATTACATATACCAAATTTTATATAGCACAAGAATTATAATGAAGTTGTTGTAGCACAAGAATTTTTCAAAAGTCGAACATCTATTATATGAAAATATATTCTCTTGTGGTGATGCGATTACCTTCAGATATTTTAATAATATGGCAAGTACATGAAAAGGTTGACATGCATCTAATAGATGTTATTATAGCCTATTTATTTGGCTTAATCATTCGATAGTGAAATTTATATGAAAATACTAGAAAGATACAAAATGCTTGAAGCATATAAAAATTCCTGGGAAATTCGTTGAATGAAACTTCAAATATCATTAAATGGATTAAAGAAATAAAGACGTGTGTGGTATAATCACCTTAATGAAAAATTTATCTATCAATTGACTTATTATTTAAAGAGATTTTACATGGATAAAGCAAATCCATTTAGTACCCTAATGGTTATAAGATCGCTTGAAATAAATAAATTATCTATTTTAACCCCATGAAAAATAATCTAAAATTTCTCGGTCATGAAATGCCATATCTCAATTCAATCTGGGCATAATATATAGCATGATAAAGAAGATTAATTACATGGCTCAGTTAAGGGGGAGATATTATGATGATATGTATTCATATAATAACTACAATTCAGATGGAGAGTTATAAGAAATGCATTCTTTTTTCCTTCACTAAGTTTTTATCCCATTGAATTTTTCTTGGGAAGATTTTTAATGAGGCATTCTATTAGCATATAATTAAGGGTGAACATCCAAAAGGGAGCTATGAAAATATTAATAAAGTGGATGTTCAACTTTCTAACCCCACATCTTTTTTCCTTATATCCTCACATTTTTTTTCTTGTTTGTGAGTCTATTAGCAGGATCTAACTCTTCTCCAACACGAAGATACTAGAATAATAATAATGCAGGTTATTTATCTGAACCACACAAAGGCAGATCCCAAACAAGATTTTGATTAGTGGAAGCACAACTATTTCATGGAGTTCAACAAATTTACTCAAGAGATAATTTGGCAGACATCGCTTAACTCAAGTTTTGAGAAGCTGATATATGAGGCTCAGAGACATTAAATGATGTTATAATCAAAGGGAGTAAAATATATGTTGCACTTTTTTTTTTCTTTATCAAGTTTTTATATCACTGGATTTTTCTTGAAAAGGCTTTTAATGAGGCAGTCTATATTACATATGAAAGGGGGTACGTTAACTATGAATATTGTACTCTTTTTCCTTCGTTAAAGTTTTTATCCCATTGAATTTTTCTTAGCAAGATTTTAACGAGGCATATTCCTAGTATATAGTCATCCAAGGGGGAGTGTTATAAAATATGGATGACGTTACCGTTGGCAGTAACGGTGCAATTATTTCTCATTATGATTTCATAGCCACCATACTAATGGAGCATTACTCCCTCATTCATAGTTGTAATCTTATGTATAGACATTGGATTTTAAATGGAATGAGAATCAATATTCTACCTATCTCTTCTGTCTTCTCTCTGACTTAGTCTTGTAATATGTCACTCCCTCATCCCTCTCCCTTTATTTCTTTAGTTTATAACATAATTCAAATAATCACAATTATCATCTAATCCTAATATATATATATATATATATATATATATATATATATATATATGAGGTAGGATACTTTGACACCAGTGTCAAATTTGACACCATTTGACACATCATCTGAGAGTCATTAGATTAAAAAAAAATCAATGACTCTGATTTGTAAGCATGTGACATGATTGATCTCTTTTGATCTAACGACTATCAGATAAGGTGTCAAATCTTGAAATTTGACATCAAATCCTAACCGTTGATTTTTGCCAATCAACGGTTATCATTTATTAGAAATTAATAATTAATTAATAAGTTTGATTCACAATCAAATATAACCGTTAATAGGCGAAAATCAACGGTTAGGATTTGGTGTCAAATTTCAAAATTTGACACTGGTGTCAAAGGATCCGGACACTATATATATATACATTATTATTATTATTACTACTACTAATTTATTATTATTTTCTTGAAATATTACAAATATATATTGGAAAAATTTATAACTTAGTTACGCATAATTGCCATAATATCTAAAATTTATAACGCACTCATTATTTTGAGTATGGTTAGGGGTGACAATTCACTACTCAACCCACTGACATGACATGGTAGTTTCATACTCAGTTGACCCGCATTCTAATTTGTCTAGTGTTTGTGTGTACAAAAATGACACAAAAACAATTTATATTGTGTTGTGTGCAATCTACTAACACGACATTTACCCACACTTTTGTTATTAATTACATTTTTAATCAGGGAATTATTCATGTTATGTTATTGGTTATTTGTATTGTATTATTAATTCGCATAATTAATGGGTCATGTCATTGTTAAGAACATATAAATTTGAAGTTAATAAATTATTTGTATCTTGTCACCCTACAAAATAAGCCTATTATGTTCATGTCATGTCAAATATTATATTCGACACGAATCTTTATTTACATTGTATTCAGAATAAGTGTAGTTATATTCATTTCAAATATCAACACTACACGAATACGACTCATCCATTTGTGTCAAAATTGCAAAATACAATACCGCAAAATTAGCTCAATTAAAATATGGGTTTAGTGTGTGTCATTCAAAAGACACAAGTTATGTCCATTTAGTGATTTACACAGAGTACGACCGGTTGCACTCTGTGTAATTCTGAAAAGTTATTTTTTTTCACTTTACACGTCAGCGATGTGACTGAAGAGAGAAAAAAAAGTAACTTTTCAGTTTTACACAAAGCACGACCGGTCATACTTTGTTTAAAACACCTAAAATGACACAAGTTTGTGTCATTCAAAAGAATATTTGTTTTCCTTAAAATATTCAATAAGATTATCCAAAAGTTATTGGTCTAGAGACGTTCCATGTAGAGCCCAAAATTTGACCAACCCATTAACTCACTTTCATCACTACTACTCTTGCAAGTGCTATTCACTGTATCCTTCAAGCTTTAAGCCTCTAGGCAAACCGAACGATTTTAATTCCATAAAGTCAACCATCTCTCCTAGACTCCTATGGTAGCTGTTCACAAAGATTCAAGTAGTGGAGTGCTTTCTCCGGGGATTCATTCATTCAACCGCTTAGTAAGGACAAACAGCGTATAGTTTCGTTTCCGCTCCTTTTACAAGGTCTTTGAACAGACCTTATTTCAAAAGGATGTTCGCTCTATTAGTCTATTCCCTACACTACACCTACACACGTTTTCTCTCTGCAGTTCCTATGGTTGGTTTTTACTTTTTCTTTTATTAATCTCATGTAATAGGAGAAAAAATTTCTTATGCTATGAAGACAATTATGTGTGAAATCTATCCACTTGTATTTGTAAAAATAATAATATTAAAATCGATGTATATATAATAGGAAAAAAAACACTTTCCTACAACATAAAGTATATTTTCCCTTCTTTAAATATTATATTCCTTTTAGGTGGTGTTTGGTTGAGGGTTTTTTAGGAGATACCTAGGCATCATAGATATGGTTTCTTTGTTTTCCATGTTTGGTTCACAATACTACAAAATTTTGATAGGAAACACATTTCCCTAGACTTTAATATTTGTGTGTAAAATGGAAAGAAAGTTACCATTCAATTTCTCCACTTTGAACGTGGTATTGTGACTTAGACAGCTAAATAAGTAAAAAACAACCAAAAAGCTGACCGTAATACCCTTATCTTACCTAATTTGTCCGGTAAAAAAAATTTCAACCAAACAACTTTTTTTACATTTTCCTACCAAACTCATTTTCCAACCATTTTCCTAGCAATTACATTTCCCTAGTATTCAAAAAATTTCTCCTCAACCAAACATCCTCTTAGTCTTTTACCTTTCGATTTTTAGGTCTACGAATCTTGAGTCATAACTTCTAATAAAGATGGAGAGATACAAATCAAACACCTATTGACATCCACCAAAAAATATTCAATAAAATTCAAGTCGTTAAGCTCTACTAAACTCATCCCATAAATATTATAGTTCAAATACTTGAATTATTACCGTCAAGTGCGTGTATCAATCAACTAGTAGGGGGTTTTCGAGCATAATCAATGGTCTCAAATTCAAGTTCTTGAATGCAGCTGTATTAAAAATTTACCGAAAAGAACTTTGCTACTTTGATAGCCTTGCCCAGCTCGAACCGAAACTAAAAAATACTCAGTTTATTAAATGAGGCTAAACATTCATAATATTAAAGCCAGACTATGTTGACATTAACGAGGAAAAAGTTACCCCAAAATTGGCTCGAGGCTTATAAACAGAGGTAATATTTTGATAGATAAATAAATTCAACATCACGGTTAGGATCTAGAACACTAAATCCTCGCATCAATTTAGTTTTTCCCATAATATTTTCCAACTACTACTACAGGCATGAAACACTTTTAACATAGTCCCAAAGTAAGTCAATTTCAGTGAAATTTAGGCATATAGAACCTAGACCTCATCAGGGTTACAAAAAGCTGCTGCATAACATTTGAATCAGGAATTCTTCATTCCTTCCAACTCGAGCATATTCCAAATTCTCAAGGACCAGATATCTTAAAAGTACTTAGCAAATAAATTTGTAATTGTGATATGTAAGAATGAAGCAAATGCGCATAAACAGGTTATAATGTTCAGAATTTATCTGGCTTATATATTTTTTCATATATGACACTCTTTCAAGAGTACGAGTCTATATCTACCACAAGGATGAAAGGGGCTTCCCCTTCCGGCATTCTGTGACACAATCAAGTACTATCTCTTGCAACTGTTTCTCCACGTCTTCTATGGGTTGGCATGCATCTACAACCTGCATCAAGCCAGTGGAAAGAGAATGGAAGAACAAAACAAAAATATGAATGAAAGAAAAGGCTTAGCAAGTAGTTAAACCTTGCATGGAAATCCCAATGTACTAAAATAACAAAAAGGGCAACATGCAAGACTTATGGAGCTAATAGAAACGAAAAGGAAGAGTTGTGATAGGATCTGGCAAATTATCAGAGTAAAAGCGCACACAGAACACCAAGCATGGCCCAGAAGAACTGGATTTTCTGATATATTGATTGAAACTTTGAAAGTAACTAAGGAAAATACAATTGTAGAGACAATTTCAGAAATTATGGAAGAAAGGAAAAAATACAAGAAAAGCTAAAAGGTTTTCTGGAGCAATTCGAGAGGCTCCAAATTTCTCTCCCAATCTGGTTTCCCAGCCCAAGAAGTCCCAAATTCCAATCCCCCTTCACACCTTTCACCCTCCCCATCTTATACTAAGTTTAAACTCCTAGAATATTCTAAAGTTAGTTATGCCACCTCATTGGTAGAGCATAATCCCCTACAACTCCCCTTACATATACCTACGTATATAATCCTATCATGTTGCCACTTTGCAAGACTAACAGCTACAACAAAGCATTAGTATCCTGTTATTCTGTTAATTTTAAGAGGAAAGGCCATATAAACAACCAATTACCTTCCAGGAGACATCGTGAAGAACTTTGTAACTTTCAGCAACTTTCTTCTGAAACTCCAGCTTTTCATATCTCTCACCTCCATACCCTCCTCGCTCTGCAGCTTTCTGATATATATTGAATACATAGGGAATATATATAAGCAAAAAAGGGTTACATGAATGAACCAATGAAAAAGGAAGCCGAGAAAAACTTCTTAGAAAATAAGCATGGTTTTATAGAATAAAAACTTCTTACCTGCATGAAAGAAAAAAAAACTAATGAAAAAGAAAGTTTGTTTCTAAAACTGTGGTTCTGAATATGATAAACAAAGCAGCTTTCAGATAGTATTTTAAAACATAACCCAACAAAGCACCATTTATTGACCACACGACAATAAGTGCTGCTACCTCTGGTGATATGTCAAGGTATGCTACCAGATCTGGAGCCAGCAACCCAATCTCTGGGGCCTGCAAAAGCAAAATTCACTTTACACTAACAGAGACAGAACATATCGAATCATGTGAAGTCTAAACTGTACTAGAATGGAAGACCTCCTGTTACAACCCTATTTTTTTTTGGCCAAAAGGAAAAATTAAAAGAGAGAAAGAGAAAGAGAGAACCACTGTAATCTTTTACCTTACACCATTCAATATCAATTCCCTTGGCAGATGAGAAAGCCACTCCAGAATAAGAATAACGGTCAACAATGAGGGTTGTCCCAGTTTTGAGTTTTGATTCCATCAATGACCTGCAAAGACAACACAATTTGATTGAAGATATTACAAAGTAATCTTTGAATTTTGCTTGTCATCAACGAGTACTAGGAATAATATCCAAATGGTTTGAGTGCCATGAAACCTCCAGGGTACATCAGCTAATAAGCACAACATTCCAGGATATACATCAGTCATGATATAACCAAAGTAATAACAGCCATATTAGTGAAGTCAATGGAGCCACATCACAAGCTTGTTGCAATTCGCTTCCTCAGAGGAAAAATATGTGCATCATAAGTTAAGCCAGCAAGGATGCAACACAGCTTGCAACTGACTCCAAAAAGCACATGTGCCACATCACAAGATGTTATTTATTTGGCTTCTAAATTCATTAAGGCAAAGAGTTCTTCATCACAGGATTTAATCAACTTTCCAGCTAGACTTGGCCATATATCAAACTTCCAATATCATGAACCAAGAATTTGCTTTATTCTTCTCATGCTATTTTTGTAAACCACTGCCACATTTAAACCACCTAAGCCCCTAACCATCCTCTCACAAGCTACAAGTTTTCAGAAAACTACAAGTGAAATTAAGGCTTGATCACAGAACATAAATTTCATTAAGACAAACCCAGAATGCTGCATATGACAGATAACAATGAAACTGATTTTAATTATCTGTTAAACAAAAATAAAAAAACAAAAGCTCACAAACCTCTTTTCCCAACGATTAGCACTGAAGAGTAGATGAATAGTATGATCATCCAAATGTGATGTGTTACTAAGATAGGCAGATACCAATTGCCCAACATTCGTAGTTCTATCAGGAAATCTCCATAATTCAGCAGAGATCCCCTGTCCCTCCAAGTAGGAGACAAGTCTGCTACATTGAGAAGACTTCCCAGAACGATCCAAGCCTTCTAAGACAACCAAGGCACCTCTAGACTCCTTTGCGCTACAATTAAGATTACCTTCCATTCTTATCTGCTTAGGAGAACACTTGGAGGAAAATTTCACTTGAAAATTCAATGTCTTCCTCAACACAAGTGCTCTGAAACTCCTGCAAAAGAAAAATCCAGTCATCATAAGATCAGAAATAAACAGAAAATTGGGGAAAAAATAACTAAAACTTTTCACTATCCTTTGTTCCTTCACTCAGACATCCTGGTACAATTACAAACATTGAAATTATCCCTGCAAGCCCTTTGCATTTTCTTCCACACACACACAAAAAAAAAAAAACACTTTTTCACCCATTGCACTTAGCACTATTCTGGGTCGAGACACATTCGAACATAGGATAACAAAAATTTTATTTTTTATTTTAAAAAAGGCGAGATACCCATAATTAAATTCTTATACTACAACACTTTATCATCCAAAAAACTTTAAAAAAAAAAAAAAAAAAAAAAATCAGCTTTAAAGTTAAAACCAAAAGAAGCAGAGAATTCTTACAGTGACTTAGAAGCTGCGATACAAGTGCCATGGATCATATCCTCACCAAACCCTTAAACTGACCAAAAACAAAATCAAAGGAAAATAAAACATTTGCCAAATTTGTCAAACGAATACCTGTAATAAAAGTAAAGATCGAAATCTGATTGTTGTCTACGTTTTCATTTTTCGGGGTTAATTAGGGTTTGTTTTTTTTTTTAAATAAAGCTCCTTTGGTGGCTTTTGTTTTCAGTTCTCACCCACTTTTCGCGCCCTTTCTTGAAATTAATTTTGGTAAAAAAAAAAAAATAATGTATTTTTAAAATTAGGAAAAAAGATTTGTCACTTAAAATGACACAAAGTTATATGATTTTTAATGAAATTATGTCGTGTTGATGTGTTTTGTCATTTCTTACTTCCATTTTCTTTTCCTTCCTAATTTTATAAAAAAAAATGAAAAAATACATCAAAATCATGTAATTTTATTAAGAATAACATAATTTTGTGCCATTTAAAATGAAAAATATTTTTTTCAATTAATAATATTAAAGTAAACAAATGAAATGTAAAATTGTTTAAGGAAAAAATGTCTCTCTCTTTTCTCTTGCACACCCTTAGAAATTTGTGTCTTATGTTTTTTGTTTGAGTAAATGTCCAAATTAGTCCCTGACAAAAAATTCGGTGTCCAAATTAGTCCCTCACAAAAATAAATTAGTTAGATAGTCCCCAACAAAGAGAAACAGGACCCACGTTAGCCCTTCTGTTAATCCAAAATTCACGGTGTCACTAACGGTGCTGATGTGTCACGTTAAGTGACATGCTGAACACCACGTTGGTTTAGGAACGACGACGTTTGGAGAGACTCATCCACGTTGGTCAGACCATTTATTATTAAACCCAAAATTGCCCCTCACCTAACCGTTGGTCACTTTACCATTTCCTTCTCTTCTAACTTAGTTCCAACCATTGTTGAGAAGGAAGAGGACCGTGGAGTAAACACTCGCCTGCGTTTGGAATACGAACTTCTTCAACAATCGGAGGGAACCGGTGGAAGTAAAATAACTTTGGTTTTGTGTGAGGCAGAACCTTTCGTACAAAAAGGTAAGAGAGTATTTATATCTTGAAACATTTTTTTATTGTTCTTTGTCCTCCTTTGTTTGTGGTCCCCATGTTGTTCCCCTTTGTTTAATGCGTGTTTTTTTCTGAATGCGAAGTGGACATTGTGGTCCATGTTTCCATTTAGGGTTTAGGTTAAAGAATGTAACTACCGGGTGGTGTGGTCCCTGTTTTAGAAAATGGTCCATGGTTGACCCAGTAAAAATTAAAAACCCCATGGAAATCGTTGGAAAAAAAGTCAGCATCCATAAAAAATGTTTGTTTGTTTATTGCTTTGTATTGTTTAAGTGGTCTATCATGTGTGGTCGTTTGATTAATGATAGGTTTGGTTTTTTGGTTTTGACAGATGTCGGAATACATAGTGATTGTGTATCTTCATGGAGGTATTTTAGTAAGAGATGAAGATGGAGTGATGACTATATAAATGGAAGGGTGGACTCATTGCCAGAGATGGACATTGACTACTGCAATATCCATGACCTTGACACCCTGTTTAAGCAATTTTGGTATGACAAATGCAAGAAGATGATGTGGCTAAAGCCTGGTGTACCCGATTTGGAACAAGGGCTGAGACCACTAGTACAGATTCAGATGTGTGTGCCATGTGTGAGGCTGCTTTAGGAAATGGCAATGCGATACATGTCTACTCTGAGGACTGCATCTCAATTCCCGAGTTTGGTTCACCTCAACATGACAGTGAAGAGGATTATGATGTTAATTCAGCATATAATGAGAACCATGCAGAGGTTGATGATGAGGTCAATTCACATGAAGACAATGCACAAGGTGATGATGGAGTCAAAGAAAAAGAAGACCATGCACAAGCTGCTGCTGGCTTGAATTTACATGATGATGGGATCAAAGAAAATGAAGACCATGCACAGGCTGCTGATGGCTTGAATTTACATGATGATGAGATCAATTCAGACAATGATGAAGAAAGTGCAGAGGATGGTGGTAATGGCTTCGAAGATGATAATGCAGATGATGAGGTTGCTTCCTCACACTCAGATTCATATGAGAGTGCAGAGGATGAGGTATACAAGCCTCCCCCACCTGGTGTTGAGGATCATTCCGAAGATGATGATGAACACAATGTACCATTGGTAGAGAAAAAAGGCCTGCAAAACATACCCCAAGGAAGAAGGTAGTCAAGAAGGATGCCCCAATTCAAGACTCTGAATCTGAAGAAGTTGATGAAGAGGAAGACATAATGTCATTTGAGGAAGAAGGATATACCTATCTTTCTGAGGAGTTGAGGACTCCTCCTTCAAGTGACGATGATGAGAATGTTAGACCTGTCTTGCCAAAGTTTAATGAACAAGCTTCTTTTGGGCATGTATATTTAGAACTTGGTATGGAGTATATGAATTTGGACCAATTTAAGTGTGCAGTAAAAGACTATAATATCAGTCTTGGGAGGAACTTCATATGGGTTAAGAATGAAAAGGTCAGAGTAAGGGCCAAATGCAGTGTAGAAGACTGTGAATGGATGGTGTATTGTGCCTGAAACACCAAGCTAAGCACATTCCAAATAAAAACTTTTAACGAGACTCATACATGTTGCAGAGTCTTCAAGAATAAAAGGGCTACTCGAGATTGGGTGGCCAAGAAATTGGAGAAAAGAATACTAACACAGCCCAAGATGTTCAGGTTAGAGGCATTTGAGCACATGAAGGAGGAATACAATGTTCATTTGAATATGAAGAAAGTAAGCAAGGCTTTGAAAAAAGAAAAGGGAACCATTGAAGGTTGTGAGAAGGAACAATATGGAAGACTAAGAATATCTGGCTGAGCTGTAGAGGAGCAACTGTTGCGAAATCGGCAAGTATACCGTTCGTTTCAATTAATAAAGTGATAAGTAGAGTATCATTCTCATGAGGACTAATGCACCAAGTACTAGTTTAACTATTTCCCTTAAGTTGGAAAATAAAATTTGTTTGGTTTGTGAAAGTAATTGAGTGTTTATGATTTAAAAACAGGATTTAAAATAAAATAATATTTAAAAACAGAAAATTAAAAACAATTAATTTCCAACGTATGCAGGAAAAGATCAAGAACGTTAAGGGAATATTGATGAAAAATTTGTAAAAAGGCTGTAGCCAGGATGCACTTCACCTCCGATCCTTCCTTATATTCCTATATTGTATTTTATAATTAATTAATTAGTTTGCTCAGGCAATTCATTATTTCCCTATAAAATAGTTGAACCCTAATGTCTTAGTGATTTCAACCCTTTATCCCAATTAGAATCCTAATGTCTTAGTAATTCCTCTTGAATCAAGCATTAAGCAAATGAATTATGAGTCTGCAATCTATGTAAGCCTATGTCTAGGTCATGCACAAATTGTTATTCTACCCTTGTCCAGATTAAAACCTCAATATGTCTATTGTGAATTCTAACCTTCAAAGCCCTATAATTTAGAGTGGCCAATTCTAAACAGGATATGGAAAAATTAACACGGATAGAATAAAACAAACTAACTAATTAAATTATAAAAACAATATAGAAAATATAAAGGATTCATATCGGGTCCGTGATCCCAACTACAAAAAGAAACTAGCCAGACATAGCTGGCTTAAATAAATTAAAGAAATAAAAAGTATTCATGAAAACAATAAAGAAAAAGAAGAAGAAGAAGATGGAATCCTGATCTCCAGCGTGAGCCTCCAAGAATTCTCTCCAGCCAAAGATGATTTGTTTCTGGGGTCTGAGTCTCTATTTATAGAGTTTGAGCCCTTGCTTAGAAATTTTGATCAAATCTTCATCGTATATCTTGGTTCAATCTCCTTTGATACAGTCTGAGATTAAATAAATATTTTCTCGTACCTCCCGTGCTACTAGCGCCAGTTTGGCGCTAATAGCGTGGGAGTTTTATTCGGCATACTGAAGGTTCACGCTACTAGCGTGGGAGTTTTGAATGGCTGGCGCTATTATTAGCCCTTATTATTCAAGATTGACCAAGATTCTTTATCTTTTTGGCTTAAAATCATATCTATGCTGGAGGGATATCAAACAATTCGCAGATTTGAACGTTGTTGTCCTCAGCAATAAGATTAAAGTTAGAAGCAAGGATTAACTCTGTGAAGAAAAACATGGAATTGAATATCTTAAGAGATCAGACTGCTATGCATGTATAACTCCATTGTTGAAAAACTCTAAACAATGTTTTTCAGTTTTATCAAGAAATTAAGATCATAACTTGAATGTTCCTCACTGGATAAATATGTAACTCTCATCACTCTAGTGTTTGAAGGTTTCACACTCATTCCATCAGTGTAGTAGTGATTCCATAGTCTTGATCATATTCTCAAATTTCTAAAATTGAGGAACTCATTTGATATGCAAAAACTGATCTAAAGGTCTTTGATAGGTTATAACTTGGCCTGGCTTGAGGGTAAGAACCTTTTGGATAGAGGCTAATTAATTTGAGAGACTGAAATACTGAGATTTTTGACAATACTTTCTTCTCAGTCTTTTAATTCTGCCACTTTTCATCAATTTGGGATTTTTTTTTTCTTTTTTCACTACCTTTTTCTTTTCTTTCCTTGTTTTCAGATGTTTTCTTTCTTTTCTCTTTTGAGCTGCATTTTTGCAGTATTTTTGCAGACCATTCTTCTGTTTCCTTTTTCAACTTACTTAACTTTTCTTTTGAGAAGTACCTTGACTTTTTCCTTCGATCAGCCTTTCAATCTCTTTCAAGGTGTGTAAATGGAGAAATGGTTAAGTAATTTTCATCAGGTTTTTGAATAAATTGGTCTAAGGCTCAAAAGGGTTAATAATGGAAAATTCTTTTAGGTAGGCTATTTGGCTCTAAGTTAACAAGAATAAACATGTCTTTATCATGTCAGTAATGCATGCAAGCTAGAGAAATAGATCAAGTTCTAGAAGACTACTACAGTGAGGCCTCTCTGGAAAAAAAATTTGTTTAGGCTCAATCCTCACAGATATAATTCAAGCTAGAATCTAATTTCAAAATTCACATCAAGCATTATCTAAAAGTAATTCACCAAATCAGTTATACAAACGAGCAATCATCACTCTCAGGTTGTCTAAAAATTTAATGCTCC